GCCAGCACGGGCGGTTGGGCTGCTGGAGCTTCGAGTGAAGCCCCCAGCCATGTTTTTGGGTCCCCCGGACCACGAGGGAAAGCATGGCGGGACAGGCGAGATGGGCCTCAGCTGCCGGGCGCGCTGTCCTGTGGAGAAGCCCAGTGAAGATGTCTTGCAGTTGCGCTACTTTCACTTTCCTAAATCAGGAAATCGGTCCGTAAGTGGGTAAATTCTAGTTACTTAACGCAAACCAGAAAGGGATTCCTAGGACGTTTAACCAAAGGTGGTGGCAATTTCAAGCCTCCCTCTTGAATGCAGCAGGTGTGGTGGTGTTGGGTAAAAACCAAGCTCAGAATTTCCAGGTGAGAGTGTCAGAAACGTCCGGATGGGTCAGGACGCTGGGCTAGTAGGAAGAAAATTAACTCTGTCCCAGCCGAAACCAGGACCCTTGGGTCTCGACATTTGTTAGACAGCACTGCTTAGAGAGTACCCCATGGTGCGAAGCCCTGGCACTGCCCCGGCATCCGCAGGCTGGATTTGCTTGGGAACCTGTGCACCTTAGCATCTGTTTCTGGATCCGTGGCCTGTGAACTTGCCTAAATTCCTTTTTATCTGCCTCCAGAAAACGTTGTGGCGACAGATTGCAGTTTTTACATTGTAAAGGAAGTGCTTTCATTTGTGTTAAGCAGGTTTCAGGGTTATGTCTCTTAAGCGCAGAGCATACAGGGTGTTAAGCACGTGTGTAACGGTACAAAAATAACGTAAAGGTAAGTACATAAGTTTCAAGACTGAAAAATTAAGTTGTGCAAGGTAGCATTCTTCACATATGTCTCTGGCTTTTATGCTTAGTAAGGAAGGAGGCTTCAGATATCCCATGTATATCACTTTTGCTTATAGAAAGATACAACATTTACATTTAAAAATTCTCTTAGCCCAACACAGTTTCTGATATTCCACTCTGGTATTCCATTCTGCTGCAAAGAAAACCTAATACACATAATGTACTTTTTTTTCCTGTTCCCTCAGGTTTCAATGGATTTTACAAGTCCCCCGCTATCTTTAAAAGATAATGGTTTTGTAAGTATTTCCTGGTGTGCTATCTGGAAAAATCTGTGTTTAACACTAGTATGTCTGAATGAAGTGCTTGGACTGCTAGGAGAGTGCTTCTGAAGCTGCTTGTCTTGCCTTCTTCCATCTTTTAACACTTTGGACATTCCTCGTTCCCACCTCCTGTTTCCATAGGGAGAGTCCCCTTCCAAAGTGTCTGCATTACAGATTCTGTTAGAATTTTCCTGTCCTACCTCATTTGCTCATCCGTCTCTGTGGAGGTTTCTTAGGGGAATTTCTTTTTTTCTGGCGCCTCCCTTGATTCAGTTCTTAAAGTGTGGCAAGTAGTCTGGATGGGACTTTCCCTGGGATTTCTTGTGTTTTCCTTGTTTTTCTTTCTTTCAGGTTGAAAACTCTTGTGTTAGAACATTTTTCAGTAAAAACCAGGCATCCTTTCTTATCAGCTTCCAGCTGTGGCAACGTGCATCCTTCTGCTTTCCTGCACTCAATCCCTTAAGCAAAGGAATTGTTTTCCGGTTTTAAGTTATACGCAGATGGGGATTTCCCTGTTGCTTAATAGGCATTTCAAACTGGACAAAGTAGTGGAAAAAATTATTTTATATTTTATTGTTTTTAGGAAATACCCAGCATTACCAAGAGAATTGACAAGATTATCTAATTTAGACCTTTTCCATGCCTAAATTTCATGGTTCATGTTCAAGTTTTATGTAATCTTGAGTAAAAGGGAGGGATTGTTTCAGCAGGTCTCTTTGGATTTTTTTTTTCTTTTCTGCAGATTATTGCAGCCATAGAAACAAAACAGAACAGAGATTTTCCCTCCTCTTGGGCTTTTCCAGTTGTACTTTTCCCGTGCTTGTGAACTTCTGCCCTGAAGTACTTAAATTCAGAAATGCTTCTATTATCACCTTCCTCCTGCTTGATGTTACCTTTTATTGTCCAATCTCCCTGAACTTGGAAGCATCCCGTTATGAATTTTTTTTTCTCATTAGGCCCTTATATTCTGTATACATTTTCTTAGAGGAACTGCTGAGAAAGCATGTAGATAAACATTTGTGGGCTTTTGAGGGGCTTCGTTTCCTATGGAAGAACATAGAGAACAGCTTGCTTTTATTATTTATCAAAATATTAGCCTATGAATATTTTCAGCTGGATATTTAGCAAATAGTGATTACTGACCAGGATCCATTTGCTTAGATTTTTGTCCTGTCCAGCCATTCAAATAGTTCAATTCAATGATTTGGCCTAAGTGTCTGAATGCATTTTTAAAAAATAATGTGTGATATGCTCTCCTCTGGCATGCAGATTCTAGGAGGATTTGTTTATGAAATTCAGTTGGTCTCTAAAAATGTTTGACTCGCCATATATCTTGCGTGCATAATTGGAGAAAAACAGCAAATGGGCACACAGGCAAAATACATTAGACTTTCATTAATGGGCATACACTGAAAACTTACCATCGCAAAATGCTTCATCCGACTGCAAAGGGTTGTTGTTTTTTTTTATTTTGAAGACTCATGTGAATTGTTTGGTGTGTCTCAGTTATTGCCTAATGGAAGGGAAAATCCATGTGTGCCTCTTCTTTTCTCTCCAGAGTATGACAAGCTTTCACCTTTTGGGCACATCAGAAAAAGAGGTGGAAGGACTTGAAATGGAACTGAAGAAATGGAAGGCAAGTTCCATAAAACACATAGAATCATGGAAATTAGCTGAAAGATACTTGCAAGACCTTTAGTCCATCCTTCTAAAACCAAATCAACTTTCCCCCAGTTATAACTGCTCTGTTCTTCAATGGTACACGCTTGTGTTGATCTCAGTGGTAACTACTCTTGCAAGTCTAAGAGAAATATTTATCCAAAGTGTTAAAAATAAATAAATATATAGGGCTTACTTAAGGTTTTGTTTGTTCCCATGGAAGAAAAAAAAAATTAAAAATATTTTTCTTTTTACTATCCAGGCAAGAGTTCTAATAGCTGAAAAAGCAAAAGATGACCTTCTGCTTTGTAAATTAAGTGCTGCTGAAGAGTGTGATAAAGCAGAGAAGGAACTGATAAAGCTAAAGGACTTAGAAGAGAAAGAGCGTAAGGACATTCTTATGTATAGGACCATCCACGAGGTATGGAGAAGGCTTACTCACAGCTGTTAGTATTTGGGGAGTTGTGAAGGAGGTGCTGATGAGAGAAAATAAGAGTAATATTTCCTTTTCAGTTTAAATGGCTTTACCGGTTTGCAGGCTGTACAAATAGAATGTTCTACACGGTAGTTTTTCAGCGGCGGGTTAAGAACCAGTGCAATAAAATAAGTCTTAGGGTAGCATTAGAAGAGTGAAGGCAAAACCGAGACCTGTTTTGTATAGAAGATGAAGATTTACAAAACCAGTCTTCCTCTCCCAAGATTCTCCACCAACAGATGAGTTTCGGTTTTGTGTGATGCCGATGCAATTCAATAGATTGATTCCACTGCTTTGTCAAATCCCAGCCTGTCCTGTAAGCCGTTACAGCAGCCAAGGGATTAGCGTTTCTTACCTGACAATGAGCTGAGCAAGAGCCAGAACCTGTTTGCTGAGGGCTCTTCTTTCTAGAACTAATTGGTTCGTTACCTCAGTGTGCCATGTGCAGTTGTTGGTACAGTAGCAGTACAAGATTGGCCTGTAAACCACTGATGAGAAATTATGGCTTCAATATTACAGGCTATCAAAACATGATTAGTAGGTTAAGTAAATTCAGGTTGGCGTGAAATCTTCTGAAAGTTGGTTTTGGTTCTTCAATCATAAATGTTCAGATTTTATAGCCAGAAGAGGTCATTATCGTCATCTGGCTCTTGTTTTACATTATCTTCAGCTGATGGGAACTGGTCTAAATGTCTCGAGTGTTTAATAACTTTAAAGGAGCCGTCTTCTAATTGTGAATGGCTGGAGCTAGCTACGTCTGCGGTGTTTCTTTCTCATTCTGTTGCCTGTCCAGGAAATACTGGAATTACTTACACGGGCTTTATGCCCATTTAGGATTGGGTGTGGAGGAAGTATGTAGCAGATAGGAGGTAGAAGAGATGTTCCCTCTTCCTTGCCTAAGAAGTATAAAGAAGGAAGAGTGGCAGTGCATCAAAAACTGTCCTTATCTAGTAAACTTTTCAGAAAAGGGAATAACGGTTACTAAAATCACGCGTGGTACAAAAAATAAAATGTTTATGTGTTGCATAGGCTCTGATCTTGCATGTATAAGGAACTGACATAACTATGGAAAGTGCTGTGCAATTTGTGGTACACTGTATGTGCTTGGAAACACTTAACGCTTCATTTCAAAAACCCTCTTACTATAATGAATCACAGAATCCCAGGTTGGAAGGGACCTCAAGGTTCATCTGGTCCAACCTTTCTAGGCAAGCGCACAGCGTAGACAAGATGGCCCAGCACCCTGTCCAGCTGAGGCTTGAAAGTGTCCAGTGTGGCAGAGTCAACCCCAACCCTGGGGACATCATTCCAATGGTTGACTGTTTTCATTGGGAAAAATTTCCCTCTCATGTCCAGTCGGAATCTTCTCAGGATTAACTTGTACCCCTTGTCTTTTCCATGTGACTCCTTGTGAAAAGGGGTAGCCTTCTTTGTAGCCACCCTTTAAATAGTGGTAGATGGTGATGAGGTCACCTCTGAGCCTCCTTTGCTCAAGGCTGAACAAATCCAGCTCTGTCAGCCCATCCTCATACAGCTAAGAGAGGCTTCCCAGCCCTTGGAGCATCCTAGTGGCCCTTCTCTGGACCCCCTCCGGCCTGTCCATACCTTTTTTGTACAGCGGGCACCAGAACTGCACACAGGATTCCAGGTGGGGCCTGACCAGCACTGAGTAGAATGGGATAATGAATTTTTTACCTCTGCTGGTGATGCCCTTGTTGATGCACCTCAGCGCCCTGTTGGCCTTCTTGGCCACAGCAGTGCACTGTTCACTCCTATGGAGCTTTTTGGCCACCAGGACCCCCAGGTCCCTTCCCACAGAGCTGCTCCCCAGCCGGGTGGATCCCAGGCTGTGCTGCACTCCTGGATTGTTTTGTCCCAGATGCAAGACCTTACACTTGTCCATGTTGAACTTCATAAGGTTCTTGTTAGCCCACTCTTCCAGCCTATCCAGATCTTCCTGCAGGGTGGCTCTCCCTTCCGGAGTGTCTACTTCCCCACTCAATTTGGTGTCATCTGCAAACTTCATCAGGCTACATTTGATCCCATCATACAGACCACTTATGAAGATACTGAATAATGTAATTTACTTTGACTGAAACGTCGGTGAGTGAATTTACCTTGCGGAGAGTTAAAGCTATGCAAAAAATGTATCATGCATGGCTGTCATTCAGAATAATTCAGAGTTGAAACAGTGTCTAATGTCTGCTGAAATATATTTTCATCTTCTCTGTGTTTAATTTTGCATTTAATACTTTTTGGGCTGTAGAGAGAACTCTATGCACTTAACCAAGAAAACGCTGAGCTGAAGAGAGAGATTGAAAAGCTCAAAGGAGACCTTGCAGAATGCAGTGCAGTGCTTTCGCGGGATGGTCAGGTAAAGTTTGAAATATTTTGCAATTTGTCTTTTGGAAGGGCACATTTTTATTTTGTCAGTTCTAGACCATTGGAGCCAGTTCAGCATTTGAACCTCTATTGATTGCAATATAAAATACAGCTTGAAGGTTTATTTTCTTATTTTGTCTGGCAAGATAATGTGAGGAAGGCTAAGGATATGGAAACAAATACAAGTATATGAGATACTGAAAACGTGAGAGGAATGAAGAAAAGCAGATTATTAAATGGAAGACACTGGAATAAAAAATACACATAGCATTAGTAATTCTCAAGTACCCTCATTTTGTATTTCTTGGGTAAGAGGATGGAAGAAAGGGAATATGTTCATTATATGGCAAATGTAGCATTTATTTTAGCCTATATTGAGCTTGACTTGATTATAGTCTCTCTCATGTTACTGCAAATCAGAAATACCTCCATTTGAAGTTAGATAAATATTAGTGATACTAAATAGATTTAAACTCAGGATCCAAAGTGTCTTTTGATGAAACAGCTGCGTATTCTGAAGTGTTCACAAATTGGAACTTCCCTTGTGGAAATTTCAGCTTTTAAAAACCCATTTTCATTCCAGATTGGAACAGAACCAAATATTTGGGGGAATACAGTAAAATGAAAACTGTGATCATTTTTTATTTATACAGAGATTGAAACTCTATCCAAGTGTTACCTTGTTTAATGTTAACAATATTACAATATTAGCTTTAGCTTTCTAAATTACATTTCTAAATTTAGGAGATATCAGTTGAGTCCAGCCTGCTATGCACTGGACAGGGCAAGGCCCCTCTTATCAAGGATATTCAGTGTGAGCAGGCGCCTACACCCAGTGTCTGAATTATCCTTAGGAAGAGTGTCTCTCTTTCCATTGGCAGTAGAGGGAACGGAAGGAAAGCGGGCTCGCAGATAAGATGCTAGTTTTGAAGATAGGTGGCAGGAATACTTTAATTAGTCTGGTTATTTTATCTTGAGATAGACAGTATTTTTCTTCTGCACAGGGTTTTATTTTGAAATAGTTGCGTAAAGGGGAAAAGAGAGTTACCTGAAACTCTCTCAAGTCTATCAAAGCAGCCTTTCCTAACCAACAGCTTCATGAACAGTTTTCAACTATCCTAGTTATAAAATACTTGAATATTCTTATCTGTTTTACTAAGATGGCAACATACAAGGCTGTTTATTAGCAGATTCCCCATTGCTGTAGGGCTGTGATGCAATTAGGCAAAAATAAATGCCACACACAAGTGATGCTGATACTTGCATTTTGCTATTGTTAGATGCCAAAAGTATTCTACTTCTGCAGGTGGAAATCTGTGTGGACTTCAATTGAATTTTTACTCTATAAGGTCAAGTTTAAGTTCAGAGTTAATCAAGGGGGAACCCCCTCCACTTCATTGACAAAAATCCTGGGAATAGACAAGTACAACTAGTCAGTTTAGTTAGAAGAGTTATACCTGTTTTACCAGACATGACTTCAATCTGCTTGACTGTTAAACTTCAAAAAACCAAAATACATGTGGCACTTCAAGGGAGGACTGCTGTTCAAAGTTCTGTTCTGCAATAAATTACAGAAATGATTTTTTTTCCTATCCTGATTCTAAAATATTAGATTAAAAAAAAGGTAGCAGAAATGAAAATGAAGTTCACTCACATGGAGGACATGAAGGCTTGTTATCCAGATATGAATACCTACTGTGTTTTCGGTGTAACTGCAAAAATCCCATTCAGACTGAATCAAAACCAGGCACTGCTTACTTTTGAAGATGAAGAAGGTATGGTGCATATTTTAAGTCTAAAATTCACATCTCTGATGTATTTCATTGACAAAGGGAAAAGATTTACCTGAACATTTTGGAACAAAAAAATCAACAACAGCCAAAGAAAGAACACACGGAGAACCTTTCACTATTATGATACCAGTCAGTAGAAGAAAATTCTTGCAAACACTCTGCATGTTTTTGTTGGATTACCAGATTCTGCTCTCAGCTAGTACAAACAATACTTGGTGTGTGAAATTGGGAATATCTTTCTACCTCACAGAGCATTGTCAAGCATGATTCACAATGTTTTGACAGCAGAATTTGGTTATTTTATTTATTCCGGGCAGTACCTGATTCCGACAGCAGTTAACGGTGGTTAAGGGTACACATCAGATGATGGGTAGATCTGAGATGACGGAGGGGTGGTGCAGGCTGTAACTTGCCTGCTTCTTGCTGAGGTGCCTGCTGTTGGGACAGCCTGGTGCCTGCCTGTGAGGAGCCTGCAGCCAGTTTGGCTGGGCCTGCCCGGTGGGTAACTCAGTTACGCAAGCAGGTACAAAGCTAACGTCCGATTCAGTTCTTTCAGCTAAAATCTAACATTCCTAATAGGCATTTGCACCTGGTAGTGATGTGGTTTTCATCCAGGGATATTTTAAAGGAACTATGAGAAGTCTAGTGTTAATATTTGGTACAGTGACCGCATCTTTTGACAGCATAAAGGTTCTACTATTCTATACTATTCTAAAGGTAGCGCAATATTTTACCTGTTGCCCGTAACCAGTGGGATTTTATGGAAGTAGACATGCCTGAAGACATGGATAGTGGGATCTGGTTGCCTAACTATTATTTATTTCTCCTTTATTGATGCAAAAGGAGATTCTGCTTAAGAAATTGGGGAATAGTTTTGGTTTTATTACGATTAAACAAGGCTTTTTATATATGAAAACTTGTGATTTTCCTTAGTTGCCCAGAGACTGATAAAAATGGGTAAGCATACTGTGAACCTGGACAGCAAAATAGCAGAAGTGAAAGTGAAGCCTTTTACACTTGAAATGGGAACCAAATTTGAGGTAATCAACTGAAATATGAAACTATAAAGATACAAACTTGCAGTATTTTAAATGCTTTAGGTTCGGGTTGTTTTGTGTTTTCAGTCACAAAATACACAAAAAAATATATTTTTTTAGCTCCACGTCACTATTTCTGGACGGAAGATCAATGTTTCAGAAGTACCTGAGCTATCCATTCCTGAAGACTGGATGAGAGACAAGTTAGAGCTGAATTTCTACAAATCTGATCAGGGAGGAGGAGGAGAAGTAGAAGATGTGAGCTATGACAAGCAGTCTGGAACAGCTGTGATTACGTTCCTCAGACCTGGAGGTATAGGATGTAGAATTTGGTTAGCTAGACGTATTGGCCGTATTGTCCATTCTGCGTTACATTCCATTCCGTATTACATTCTGTGTTAACCAGTGAATGTAGCAAATTCTCCCCACATTACATTCCATTCCGTATTACATTCTGTGTTAACTTAACCAGTGAATGTAGCAAATTCTCCCCACGGAGAGTTAAGTAGATCAGGAAAAGATGTGGGTTCACCCACACATCTGTAAATAAAGCAGTATTTCATCATCCTCCTTTTTGATCAAACATTACCTGATAGGCAGTTTGTGAGCTTTATTTCTTTCTTTGTCAAAAACTTATTTTTTCTGCATTGCTAGACACTCATCTTGCAAAAGAAAATTAGGAAAATGTGTTTGATTTTAGCTCTTGTTTCATGACAATGAAGTTAGACAGGCATTCAGATTGCCCAACTCTATGAAATTCTATGAAGATCAGCAGAGCCACATCCATTTAGAGCAGCTGCTTTAGATTTATTTCAGAAGTGTTTGCGGGTATTTAATGGTTTTGCTTTTTTGGAAATGCTAAATAAACTTTTTTCAAAATGCATATGAAGAATCTCTGAGTGTGCTATCGCATATTAGTTTCTAAATCCCTACAAGAAAGGTTAGTCTATTCTTTGATATGCTTACAAAAAGCATTTTAGATTATATTACTCTTACTCCTCTTTTTCTCATTCTCCATTACAGCAGCTAACGGCTTTGTGAGATGTACTAAATACCCCTTCTGTGTAAATGGAAGGTGCTATAGGCTTCCTGTGTCCCCAGACACCAACATACGCTTGGAAAAGTTTCAGGTAAAAGACTCTAGTCCAGGCTAACCCCTAAATAGAACAGATACATGGGAAGTATGAGTTATGGGCAGAATTTTCAGTTCTGAGGAGTGCAGAAGCTTTTGTGTCACGCACTTTGTGAAATTTAATAGGAAGTGTGAGTCTGCAATACACTGCTCTGCTGGTAATCTTGTGTTTTGCAGTGTGAAAGCTATAATTTATTTTAAAAGGGTGTGCATGTCTTTCCTGGATCAAATTATATCGTTACTTACCATAACGCCTGTGCTAGACAGGAGGCAGATACTGAATTGTTTGTGAAGTAAGTTAATAGTAGACACAACAACCTTTTTCCGAGTCACAAAGCACTGTCATATTCATCCCTAATGAGAGGCCTTGTTGACAGTCTCAGCAGAGACCCTTGTTGTTCTGTGAAACATTTGCTGTTCATTTTTTTCATTCATTCATTCAGCCCGGATAATGACTTCTTTTCCTGTAATGCCAGTCTGCTTGCTCATCATATTCTCACTGAAATTGTCTTTCACTTTGTATGAATAGATTGTAATCAAGTCAGTATTGTGTATATAATCAGGCCTTGATAGCTAAAGCACTGACTGGAGTGTGTGCGTTTATGAGATGCAGCAGCATTCTTTGCAGGTGTGTATCATGCCTTGGCATGGATTTTTATGGAGTGATGCTGTCTAGAGTCATTGGAGATCCCCAAATCCGGTGTGCGGGTGCGTTCAGGAGCGTGGGACATGCCAGTTAAGGAGGCCAGTTGCCTTGCCCGTTGAACTCGGTAGTGCACGATAGAGCTTAGAACTCCTGCTATTTTCAGTGACAGAAGGATACCACACTCTCCAGAGTCTTAAAATGTAATCAGGGATCCAAGCCATATCTGACCAAGGATACGTTTATTTCCCAGTATCTGTCAGTTCCTTCAGATGTACATGCAGCAGCCGACGTGTAATACAAGTTTGTGTTTCTTTCCTCAACAGGTCTATTCTGGGATTTCTAAGAAGACCATTCTGCTGAAAGGAATTCAAGAGACAGAAGATGATGAGGAAAGTGTACAGGACCTGATTGAAGTTCATTTTCAAAAGCCTAGTAATAGTGGAGGGGAAGTAGAGATAATCAAATATGTATCAAAAGGAGTAACATGGGTTTGTTTTGAGGAGGATACTTAGAATGATGTAGATTGAACTCAGGAAGTTCTGAGGTTTTTCTTCATCAGAGGCATAGGAAGTTATGCAGACATTGTACTTTAATTTTCTGAAGTTTATACTTGAAAAAGAGGAACTGCCTGTCTTTATGATTTGTGTAACAGCACAGACTTTGCATAGAAATTCGGTAAAATCACTTCTTGGGGTCCCAGAGGTTCCTGGTTAAAGTCAGGAAAAGCTTTTATCAGCACCTGAAACTTAATCTAAGATTGCTTTCTGCGAACTTGCAGATTTTGTATCTTGCAAATTTTAGATAGGTCGCGTACTCCAAAGTGGAATAAATCTATTCCTTCTTACCTTTTGGTTACAAAAGCTGTGTGCAATCCCAATCATAAGCCTATTCACGCACCTGCTTTTTTTAAGTGCCATAGCTTCAGGAGGTAGCTCTGACAGAACTGCAGCCCTGCTGAGGCTGCTGTGTGCCACCATGACTCAAATACCTGAAACAGTTATCCCGCCACTTCATAAAATCCGCATTATCAAATTAGGGATAAAATAGGAAAAGGGAGTGTGCAAAAACACCACAGATTTACTCAAGAAATTGCCCCTTGTAAGAAATGCCATAGCAGTAATGCTGCTTTTAGCTGTCAAAATGCTGTTGCTTCTCCTAGGAGCTGATACAAATTCTGCTGAGCTTCTGATGGGTTAATGGCCTGGTTTATTATTTGTTTTTAACATTTGTTTCTACAATTACATTTTTCCTCTTTTTTTTTTTTTTTTTTTTATGGTTTTGCTTACTTTAAAATATTGCAGTTAGGAACTGAAGTGACTCGTTATCTAAAACAGCTTGCTTTGTACCAATGCTGGAGAAACAGTCGGGTGGTGGACACTGTGTCACAGAATCCCAGAATCCCAGCACGGCCGGGGCTGGCAGGGCCCTCGGGAGCTCACCCCGTCCCACCCCCCTGCCCAAGCAGGCTCACCCAGAGCAGGGGGCACAGGACAGCGGCCAGGCGGGGGTTGAAGATCTCCAGAGAAGGAGACTCCACAGCCCCCCTGGGCAGCCTGGGCCAGGGCTCGGGCACCCTCACAGTCAAGAAGGTTGGAGGTACCTGTTCCATCACAATGTGGCTGGCCAGGCTGCTGGCTCTGGGAGGGGATGTAGAGGGGAAAAAGTTGGGAAAAGGCACAGAGAGCTGGAAAAAGGCATATAGCGTTTAGGGCAAATTAATTTTTTCAGCGTGTAAAGTTCCCCTTTTGTTTCCAGTTCATCCTTCCAATTCTCATTCTAAAAGACCTTTGAAATAAAAAGGAGGATTTGTTTTCCAAGGAGGAATGCTTTTCCTTTTCTGCTGTCGTCCTTTTTATTTGCTGCCCTTGGGGGCTGAAATGGTTTGGCAACAGTAATCTTAACTTCGAAGGAGCACGGGTCTAACGTTGAAAAGAATTTATTTGCCTGGTATTTGACGTTTTAGTATTCAGGAAGAGGACAGTGCACCAAACTAGTGCAAGAGCAGCACTACACATATACTCAGCTATTATTATTCCAGAGAAATTGTTAGTAGGCAATAGATGAATATGGGAAACTAAAAGGCTTCTGGCACCACAGCTGATCTGGAACGTACTGTTGGGTGAGATATGTGTGACTGTAGCACCTCTCACTGTTTAGGGCATGCAAAGGCATGGGTTGATTACCTGACAATTATGATTAAAAAAATAATAAAAGTACCAGTACTGGAGTATTTATGGAGATTACAGCCCTTTGCATGTAACAATCCTGAAAAGAAACAGTCTTAAGATCAGACGGCTTAGGAAGGGGGGGGAATCTGATGAAGGTAGAGAATGTCGTGGATTTTAACTGTGCCTCACTGATCAATGTTGAGAAGCAATTCCTTAAAAAGGAAGAAATTTAAAATTCGCGTAAGGTGTGAAATTAAAATTCTCTCGGCGCGTGGGAGCAGTGAGAAGCTGCAGGTTTTAAGTACTTCGAATCAAAATGAGATTTTAAGCAACATTTTTAAGCCAGTCGGTATTTGCAAATGCCTCGGGTTCCTCTCCGATGAGCTGACCGCACTGTGCCAACGCTAAAGCGGTAGCGGGGCCGGCTGAAGGAAGGTGCGGGGCCGGGCTGCGTGCCCCGGGGAGGCAGC